AAAACAAGGATTCATTTCAGGTGAAACATAAATATAAAAAAATCAAACAATGACTTTAATGTATTTTTATAAACATCAAAGAGATAAGAAAAAATAATATGTAAAACAAGAAATTAAAGGTAAAAATAGATACAGCAAAAAAATACTGGAATTCTGGGAAACAAATTATCATGATTTAAAAATAGTTGTATTGATAATATAAATACCATATTGGAAAGAGTCAAAGAGAGAATTAATGAACTGGAAGACAATGTTGAGGAATGCAGAAAAATTATAGCAAAACGGGATGGTGGTAGGTTTTTTAAACAAGAGAGAGAAGTTAGGAAACATGAAGGGTTAGGCCAAGCAGCTCCAATATACATTTAAAATGAGTTCCAGGCAAAGGGGAGAAAAGTGATGAATACGTGAACAGATAATTTCTGAGAATTCTTAAGACATTAAGGAAGACATTAGTCTTCAAGTTGAAAGTTCTCACTACGTATAGCGAGATAATAAACTAACTAACTAAATAAACAATCAAATTCATACTACACATATTAAAGCAAAGCCAAAGATGAATAAGAATACTGAGAAAATTATGAAAGTCACCAAAAAGGCAGATTATCTATAAAAGAATAACACTTAGATTGAAAACAGACTTATCAGTGATAAGAAATGGCAAAAAAAAGTTACCTTCAAAATACTGATGAAAAATAAGTTGATCTAGAATTCTGTATCCAACAAAATAATCATTCAAAAATGAACAGAAATTTTTTTTTCAGCCATTTTCAGACTAAGAATTTAACACCCACCAATCCTTATTGAGAGAGCAACCGAATAAGAAGGGGAAAAACAGGATGTAACAATGTTAGCATAGTGACTGATTAAATATATTGCCAAATGCTATTACCTAATGATTATAAAAACATTAGTCATTTTTAAAAGAAAAATGATAGGACTATAAGTCTGGGATAAAAACTAGAAGGAAGATGAAAAATAGTTTAATTATTAGTTAGAATGCTCTAAAATGCTCATATTTAGGAAGATAAATACACTAAATAAATTTATAGCATGTTATAAAGTAATGTAAAGAAAATATGTTAACATATACGATTGGCCAACGCATTAATAAGAACATTAATCTGTAGTTTCCAAAATGTATTGGAGGAGTCAGGGAGAGAATATTGAACAATTTGTCAAGATATTATAAAACCAGAAAGAAGACAAAATGCAAATGTAAAATAAATTAAATTATCCAACTGTAAAGCAGAGAATATAGGGATAAACAAAAATTACAAAAATTGTATGCATCATGGTTCCAATGGTCTAATTCATCGATGTGCAACACACATACGCCAGATAAAAATATATCAAAATATTATTTATCATTGGACTATAGCATTACAGGTAATATGTATTCTACTCTATAGTTTTCTGTGTTGTCTGATGTTCCTATGCTGCAGTGATATTTATTTTGAAATCATAATAAAAAGTTATTTTAAAAGGAACTATTGGTTGCATTTGAATTGAGTTTATAACATCATTTTTCTTTCCTCAAACAAAAAATGTCAGAAATTTACAGTTGTAAATATAATTGGTATAAACAAATATAAATCAATGCAAAAAACTTTAAAGACAGGTTTTTACAAATATCTGGACACAGTCATTACTTCAACTTGAAGATAAAGTTAATGAATTTTAAACATTTTCAAGTCAGGTATTATAGGTAGGAAAGGAGTAGAGGACACGGGGAAGAATTTGCATGGAAACATTCATGCCCGATTCCAGGAACTTAATTACTCAGTGCTCTGCACGTGTTGAGTTGATTTAGGTCATGTGGCAAGTGCTATAATTTCTATCCAAGAAAGGCACTGGAACAGAAATCATCATCATTTGGCATGACTGCATATAGAAAAGCTGCTGACAGCCAGAAGAGATCAAAAGCAGATCAGGTTGCTGAACAAACTACATGTCACTGAGCTCAGAAAGCCAGGAGTACCCTGAGGAGCTGCGGAAACCTTGGGAGCAAGTATAGAAATCAAGCACAGTGGATACTCTCATAAAATGTTAACATGAAATGCAGTTGTCCTATTAAATGTCTGAGCCATGACATTTTTTCTCAGTCTTTCCTTAGGGGGAAAAAAAAATCAGGTCTCTAAGCAGAAAACAGAAGTGTACAGCCTGAAGATGAGTGACTTAGAAGCTTTTCTTCTCTGTCTTGACAAACTAATCACACGATTTATACTATTTTTCCTTCTTATGAATAGCCAGTATGTATTGGCTATGTATTAGATCGAAGGTATTGGGATAAATTCTTTACATACATCATCGCATTTTTTTAAAATTTCTTAAAACAACTTGCTTCAGACAAAAAGGGGACAAGCTATTTAAATCTTCTTAGATGGATTAGAAGGAATCGTTTTTAGTAGGCTACATTTATCAAAGTAGACATTATTTTAAACTAATCATTTTCAAAATAACATAATCCAATAATTTCCCATTTGACTCTCATTTAGTGAGATAAATGTACAGATCTATTTATACCCATCTCCTTCCAAAATGGGACATGAGGCGGTTTTATTTTATGCCTTGTTGATATGAAATGCTACATTCATGCTAAATCCTTCCCAGAAATTGAATTTCACCAAATTTTAGCTCACAGGGTTTCCTTCCTTGTGTCACAAAACATCTTGCTTTCTATACAAGAACCAAAACTCTGGAAGAGCAGAAAATAAGAGGTATGATTAATGCTTTATTTTTGTCAGCTTTTAAAGGATACCTCAGAGTTTGACAGCCTTGTAAATAGCTCTTCGAGCCGTTTTCATTTCACAAGAGCAATAATACATAATTACATTATTTCATGAATGACAGTTTCATTTGTCCACCATCATTGTAAGCTCCTCAGAGGCAAATGTCATGTTTCTGTTACTAACATGGTACCTGGCTTGCATTTCTTAAAATGTGTTCCACTGAGGAACCTACCAGATAGTCTGTGAAAAAAGTGTTCTGTGGTCAAATAAATCAGGGAACTACTGCTAAGCCTTCTTTCAGAGAACACTGTGAATTCCTTATATTCATTTGGTCATGAAAACACTGCATTTCTAAGGCACCAAACTGTAAGAAGTAATGGACAAACTCGAGAAAATACCATGGTAAGGAAATGCCATAGGTGCCAGATGAGGGAACAGGCTTTTCAGAAAAGTTTGTGGCCTTTAAGAGAAGTTTGTCTTATCCTTATATAAGGAGTAAACCCTTCAGGTTAAAATTATTACCTTATGAACCCTCTGAGCCATTCACAAATTCCTAAGATACTCCTTCAATATTTAATATTCTGTAGTTACCACATTGCTCAAGAAGACAGATACACAAGAGGAAATGGCACAATGGCAATGTTTCCTCATCCTTTTCAACCCCACCATCTGGTGCTAATTCTCTCTGTTTAGCCCTAAGTCTTGTGAGAACTTTCCCATTTTCATGGCTACATGTACAGTTAATAACTATAGTAAGAAAACATGTAGATATGAAAAATAAATGAGGTAACATTCCAAAGTAACACACCAATCAAAGCACACATAAATCCCCAGGTAGTAAGACTCCCATTCCTCTCCTTTATCGAATCACCTGTAAACTATGAAATTCTACTTTACAATGCTTAATTATTGATCAAAGTGTGAAATATTTTTCTGATATCCCAGAAATGCCCCTAACACTGAGAGAGAAAGAGAGAGAGAGAGAGAGAGAGAGAGAGAGAGAGAGAGAGAGAGAAGAATTTAATAAGCAAACTGAGATACCTTGTATAATTTTGAAGTATGATAAATACTATACATGAATAATTTGGTTTTTTTATTGTTTTAAAATACCATACTTAAATTCATAGCAACATAGTATTATACAAACATAGCATTGTTTTATGTATTATTTTTTTAAAATAAGACGCTCATTCTTGGGCTTAATCAATGAGCACCCATATTAAGGTTTTAAGCGGGGGACATCTAAGCAACAGGATCTCAAGGATGATCGTATCTTTGGGTATGCATAGCACCTACAAATGCCTGATATGCATCAGGCTCATAATAAATGTTGCTGGCTGTTTAGGAACTACAAGCAAACTATTAATATATAATGTTACTATGATGACTTCAATCCATATGAAAGCATCCATGACCAGAATATACAACAACTCCATAAATTTGATTACAGATCAATATGGATAAACATTTCAAAATTAGGGTAGAATCTTTTAAAAAGTTATATCATGTTTTTGGTCTCTGCACAGGGGCAATGAAGCCTTTCCTTTTCATCTAGTAATACAACATCCAATGAAAGTTTCATGCAAATTTATTCACTCCCGGTCTGTGCTTAATGGAGTTGGCTTAAATAGATAGCTGAGGTGTTCTCAACTTCATAACAATAAGAAACTTCATAAAAAGAGGATAAAAGGAATTTTATTTATAAAAATAAATTTAAAAATTGTAAACTATCTGCTTTTGTGTAAATGTTGCTTTTAATTTAGAATATTGAAGAATTTGAGACTCCCTTCAAAATGATTTGATATAAGGCTTCTCAGTGAACAATAAAACATATAGACATGTGGGGTTTTTTTGACCAAATATGTGAAAGGAGATATTCTGTACCCAGGAAAGTTCACAAGCTACAAAATCTTGAGCAAGTACATCGAGGGAGGGTGGGGAGGCACTATTCATCTTCTAACAATGACATGATAAATGTACAAATGTTCTTGGCTACAAAGTGAACACAAAACAGTCAAATTTGCTCCTGATGAAAGAGATTACTACTCAAGTCACCAAGATACTATTCAATAACTAAATTTCTAATACACACAACTTCTTAAATGACAAAAGAATAAGACGGTTGGTACATATTTTCTTTTGCCACACCAAACCATTTTTATTTCTACAAGGCTGCAGAAGACTTTTTCTTCAAAAACATTGAAAGGTCTGTCTTCAGTCACGAAAAAAGCATAAATAACAAACATGAGTTTCTTTAAGATTATAAGTTACCTTTCAAGTCTTTCTTTAGTTTTCTGAGATCTTTTTGAAAATCTTCAAACTTCATCTGTGAGGCCTGAAAGAGGTCCTGGGGTTCTGGTAACGGAAAGACACACTGTTCTTTTCCAGCATCCTAATTAGCAAGAAACACAGAATTTTGAAACAAATCAGCATTAATATAAATAAGAATAGTACAACAGTAGCAATGGCAAAACATCAATAACAAACAATTCCAAATCACTTAACAATAAATAACAAATTGTGACTATATGTAAAAATTGTCTTACCTCATCAAAATTCCGAAGATAATAGGAAACGATATATGACAAGAGGCTTCTGCTATTGTCCTAGGCAGAAAGACCAAAGTAAGTAAAAATGTGTTTTTTTAAATGCTAAATATATAGTGTCAAATAAAATAAATTCCAGTAAATCAGTATATATAGATGAAAACAGTAATAACAAAATGTGAAATTTGATATTTTAAATCACTTTAGTGACTATTCTAAGGAGTTTAACGGCAGAAACCACCTTATTTTCCCCCCAGGGCTCCCAGCTAAGGTCCAATTGCAAGTATTTAAGGGTAGGGTCTCTATAAATACCTTCCCATTTTTACCCTCCTTGTCAGAAAATTGGTTTGTTAACTTTTATGCTTTATTATTAAGAGGTATAACTACTATTTTAACTAAAATGATTAAATGTTCCAGTATTTCTATACACTGGACCAGCAGGTATCACTCCAACAGTTAAGTTTGACTGTCTTGTTAATATACGGATTAGGGAAATAAAAAAGTTAAGTATGTTAAGTAATCAGGAGCTTTAAGAATACAAATACATATTATAAATTGTTACAACAGAAACTGAGATTGCGGAATTCATATCAACGCATCTATAAAGAACACAATGTACGTGGTTCTATAGTAAAAAAAAATGTAAAATTTGTTTCATATCTAAAGGTATTTAAAAAAACAGCTTTCATTTGATTTCTGGAACATTTGGAGGCATTATGTATTTATTTATTTATTGCATTGTTCAAGTTTAGTAGTAGGTAATCTGAATGTGTGAGACCAAATATACGTTTTAAAAACAAACCCTATGATACTAACTACATTCCTTGGAATGTTTAGTTTAACCATAAGTTCCCCCCTATTTATAAAAAGAATAATATCTCGACAATCGAGTTTGACACGATATGGTAACATAACTATCAGAGACTTCCGTCATAGCAATATGTAATAGTAGTACTAGTAGTGCTAGTCATAGTAATAATAATACTAACACAATATCTATTACACAGTAGTAGATAGCAATAACGATAATAAAACATATTTATTAGAAAAAGGGTTTGCCTGCAAAATGATTTAATCAACTTGATTTCCGTTCTCTTTCCTAGCTTGTAAATCAATGAAATTAGCAATATTTGAATTAGTTAACAAAACATTTATTAAATGCATGCTGATAGGCATGCTATGTTAAAATTCTGAGTTATCTGAGTAAGAGCACTGTCTATGCATGTCAACAAATAGTACTAAGGGATACAGTTATATTTGTTTTATAGAAACAGAACCAAATCAGGAAGACCTTGCATGGTTCTTACGAGAATGCAATTTTTTTTTAAGTCCTCCTTCTTGATTCATTAATCTTTATCTCGATTACTCCTTACTTATTTAAATGAAAGGAAATTTAACTGATTGGGGGATTAAATAATATATATCAACCAAATTAAAAAAAAACAACAAAAAACAAATAACACCTTATTCATATGTAATGATTATCAGAATCTACTTCAGATCCATTTTTGTAAGTTAAACATTATGTTGATGCTATTTCTATTCCAATGTTCTTTGCCAAAGATACTGCTTCAACACAACAAGCTGTTGTTAAGAACTATTCAAGAACTACCACGTGTTTAGAGAGCTGTTGTTTTTGAGCAAATGTGACTTATAAGGTTGACAAATAGAAGTTCCTATAAAAAGTGTATTTCATACAAATATAATAAAATTTCAGTAAATATAACATAAAAATACAAAATAAAAATGACATGTTGTTGGAGTTCCAAGAAGGGACTATGTTTTACTCAATTTTGGAAAAGCACAATGTCTGGCATTTCATACAAGCCCAATGAAAGCATGTTAAATGGATGTGCGAATAGATGTATGAATAAGCCAATAATTTGTTGACCAACAGGAAACAAAATAAAATCGTATCTCTTTCTTATGAGGGAGATTATTTCATTATCTAGGAAGGATAATTTTATATATTTTCATTTGTAGAATACACCTGTTTAATTAAGCTCAATATTATGAAAACATATCCATAATTTCCTTCATCATAAAGTTCTATGGGGAGATATTTTTATCAGAAAAAAGAATTGTTTTATTTTCTAAGTTTATAACCTCAGACTTTAACACTGTCCATTATGGTCTTTCCCTAATATTAAATTCTACTGACAGTCTCATAATCTCTTAGATGCAAATTTTAAACAAACATAACTTTAGAAGTAGGATAAAAATATAATCAGGTCTGCAAAAGGGCTTAGACATTCCCATACATACCACTACCAAGGAAGAAAAAGAATCGTCTTTCAAATTTTATTTACAAACTACTTTCACTTGTCTTTGTTTTGCTTAACATGGAGGTAAAGAACAACGTAATGTATATACAGTCTAATTTATGGAAATTAATTAGTCCTCAGGGTCCACAAGGATAAATATGAGCAGACAAGGTACAGACAAAATGAAAAAAAATAATTATTTTTATTTTAAAATATTGTCTATGCAACTATTCATTAGACATAGAACTCAAAACTACTCACTTTAGGAAACATTATTATTCACTGAATCACAAATATATGATGGCCATTACTTTCACCCAATTCAAAACATAAAGAAATGCTCCACCATGGAGCATAAAGAAACATTTATTACACCTGGTGTGTAGTTAAGCTTATTACTAAACAAAACATCCAATCCTCAATTTGCCTGCATTCATTCATACACGATACTTACACTGCTTTTGACATCTTTCAGCTTCGGAAGAATGTCTAATCCAAAACCATCGGCCTGGCCTCGAGTCTTGTTTCCACCATTCATGTAGTTACCGAAGGCAAGAACCAAACCCAAAACCTGCATAACCCCTGGGCCATTTTTTAATGTCTGTAAAACAGGATAAAGAACAGTTTCTCTCTTATACAAAGTTTTACTGGAATTATCTTAAGTCAGTGGCAGATATTCGTATTATGTTAATAATTTGGGGTCATATCCAAACTTTAGCGTTGCTCAATATTATATTTGAAGAGGAGTGTCTCCAAAATGGACTTCAAAAGTTGCGGTACTAACAAGCATTCAGGGATGCTTTTGCAAGCTGAGAGATACCAATCTAGGCCATTTCTATGATGTGATTGTAAGGAAAATAATATGACAACTACTACAAAATGATGTAATTGCTATCAGCCTAATTGTACCTACCTCTGGAGCAATACAAATTTTTGGCATAAGTTGTGGGAAACCGAGACATCGTTACAAAGATTAATTTCCAAATGTAGATTTATCCCTGAAAAATTCATACTTGCTTTCTTCCAAATCACAAAGTTTAACCTGAATTTGCATGTTACATTCTCTGAAAATGTGCCTTTAATAACTTCTTACTTCTTTTCAAAATAATTTACCACAACCAGAACAAATGGTGCTATTGATTTGTGACAAATTGTTTTAAATGTCATTATTGGTAATCACTGCCAAGTATTTATCCTTTGTTTTCAGAAGATCATACAGCTGTTCCTAAATCATTTGGTTGGCATCATTAACAATTTGTCAAGGGGCCTTTCCAAATATGAAGAAAAGTAAATAAAATGCCTTCAAATCACATTCAATTGGCAGTTTGATGTGTAAGAGGTCCACGGAAAGTGAAAATTTTGCTTTGGCAAAAGCAGAAGGTACAAAAAATCTCTGGAGGTCGATGCACGATAACCACATTCTCACAAAGTGGTCCCAGGGGGCCACGGTGCCTACCCCAATATTACTTTGTTCTTGAAGCTCAGTCATAATATGTTCTCTGCCATGGGCCTGCTATCCTTCAAATTTTATGAGGACTTAGAATAAATAAAACGTTTTTTGAAATGTGAACAAAACTGAACACAATTAAATATCAGAATCCAAGCTTCAACCTTCTATGTACCGGAACCCACCTCACACAATTTCTGTAGCAATTCCAGTTTGCGACGAATTGAGCAAATGCTTTCTGAAAATGTAGACTGGAACAGGATGCAAAAGACTCGCTCTGAAAAGTTGGGGATTAGTGACAGCTCATAGAGGAACCTAAGGAAATAAAGCCAAGTTAAAAGGAATCATATAACTCATATAAACAGGTGTTTATGTTTATCATCGTATCATTCATAACAATTATGCACGGAAGACATTGCATTTTCCAAATGGAAAGAGCGCCCCCCGACGCCCAGATGCCCACTGCAGGGCCCGGAGGTATGCTTACTGCTCAGGTTTGTCCAGGGACTTGGCGTTCTCCTTGTCTTTGGAGGATCGGCCGTGCTTTTCAATTTTTTCCAGTTCATCTGACTGTGCTCTCTGGAAATCCAAAGACAAGCTGTTTTTCAAAGTCTGGTTAATTGAATCCCTTAGATAATGATGATCTTAATATAGCAAAACTCTCTATATTGTCATATTTCTTAGCATCTCTTTGTAGTGAAGCTTGACTTAATTTGCGAGGCATTTGAAAGTGTAAATCTGTTTAATGCAAACCAGATCATCTCTAAACCTCCCAAATAATGTTATTGACTATTAGTGATCTGCAAAACATTTATTTATTCAAGCATACTTTAAAACAATACAGTCTTTCTCTCTTGCTCTTTGGCTGTTTATAATACTCTCTAAAATGCAAGAATTTCATTTTAAAGTGGTATTTCTTATTGAGGAGTCAATCAATTAAAATTGGAAGTAATTTAATCCTAAGGTTTGTTATAAGATTTTTAAAGGGAAAAAAAGTACTTATTTAACTATTGCAATCATTGTTTATGGCTATGTTTTCTTAGGGGAAAGAAAAATGCAATTGAATTATTAAGTCATGGAACAAAATAAAAGGTTTTGATTTTTCTGCTGAATTTTATTTTTGACACAAAAAAGGCTCCAGGCTTCTTTTCTTCCTAAGTGTCTTCTTTCAACCGTTTATATCAAGCTCAAAACATGTTGCACTAAATCTGTTTCTTTATAGGAGAGGATTTGCTGCATTTTAACATAAGGTAGAAGATTTTACAAACTTGGAGAAGTACAAGTCTATTCTTTATGGAGAATTGGGATGATTTTTATTTGTAGTCTTTTTTTTTTTTAATAATTCACAAGATGTTTCAAAGAAGTCAAATACTACATTTTCTAAATGCATTAACAAGTGTGAATAAACTGCCATACCTTGAGTTTCAGTCAAGTCCTCAGAAGTAAAAATCTCTTCAACATTATTTTAGGGACTCTATATTTCACCTAAACAAAGCTATGTTCTGTTTTGTATTCACTGATTGTTTTGAAATGCAGGTTTTGGGTTGATGGGATTAGCTAACAAAGACTAGTTCTTCAAAGGACACGTCTTCTTAGCAGTGGAAGAGAATTTGATGACAAATCAGTGGATCTTCTGAGGGTTTGATAAATTTTGCTTTTGGAATGTAATACAACAAAAGGATCCAAAGAAGTAAAGGAGGTGCATTTCATGCAAATATCCCAAGCTACTCCAAAAATTTAGAAACTTCTAAAATTTCAATTGCATAGTAATCTTACTTTTTTCCTCCAGGCTATTGTGGCCTTGTCCATAAATTTTAAGGGCGTAAACACCACCTCATTTATCTATAGTTAGCACATATAAGAATGGGCCCCACAAATGCTATCATAATACCACATAAAGCCAAGTAGCAAGATGGCCCTTCAGAATGACCAAATCCATTTTTCTGGTAAATGATTGATAGGAGTAATATTATAAAATAATGTTAATGCTATGAACACTGATAAGGCAAGGGTTGTTTTAAGACACATAGGTCCACACCAAAGTACACCATATAAAGGTATCCAATCCTTATAATCCCTCTATTATTATTTTTTTTTAATGAGAGCTTCTACCGGAGCAATTAGTCAGCTATCTTTAAGCCCAACCACATTCTATACCCAAAACCTCACCAGGAAAAAAATAAATCCTGCTTGCTACAATCTAATGAAGTAATTAAGCTTGTTTATTGGTTTATTGTTTATCTTTTGAAACCTAGGTACCTTGACATGGACTCAACCTAGTTGAGTACTGGTGCCAGTGGTTGAATGAATAGAAGCCCACTCCAGGGACCCAGTAAATCCCCTGGGTCTTGAACAAATAAACAAAGAAAATCGCCAGAGGGATATATACAAAAGAAAAAAGATAGCCAAAGTAAATCACAGTCATAACTAAAGATACAAGAGGACAAATTCCTCAATGACCCAAGAACAAAGCGACTCTCTGGATGCACTATAAAGTTAATTCCCCAAATATTCATTATGCATGACTTACTAATTGCATAGTCCTTTATACTTACGCTCTATCAGACTATTTCTGCTCACTTTAGAAGTGCCTTGGTTTGACAGTGCTGCTTTACGGCTAAAAGAGGGAGCTAACTGCTACTCTATCTATGTCCCCCACACCTCTTCCTTCTTCTTCACACCGAGTTACACAGAACTTCCTAATACTGGCATGTGTCCTTTGATGATATTAAAAATAAAATCAAGTTTTAAAAGACATCACCCATCCTATCAGAAAAGTCTTTACGTATATGGAAGTTGTCAAGCTCATAGTGGCAGCCACAAAATATCCAAAATTCTAATTTTTTACTTTAGAACTTGAATTTTATCATTGGCAACAAATACTGTCAGTTGTCTTCCTTGAAGTAACTGGCTTGTTTTGTTCATTTTCAAGAAAATGTCTATCAAATACCAAGGTGTTAATAACCATAGTTTGCCAGTCAGATTTTCAAACAATGTTGTTCAATGAAAGAAAGGCTAGTTTAATTCATAACTTAATCACACAAGTGCTTTTATTCAAACTGTTGTAGTTGGTTATGTACCAGAAATGCTTTATGTGTACTTTCCAGTTTGTCGCACTGAGTATTAAAAAGACATACACTCAGGAGTTGAATTTTAATAAAATTAGTAATTTTCACTACTTCAAGGACAGTCTTAAATGAAGCTGGCTTTTTTTTTTTTTCCCCCCTGCAAGCGCATGTCAGTGAAGAACTAACATGGCGAACCAGTGTGGTGCCACTGACCTAATTCATGAGGAGCCAGCAGCATTTTTACCTACCACTGCTTATGAACCAACCATCAGTACAAATGTTTACACTGTCAAAAAGGCAAATAACATCTTAGAATTATGAAAATAGATTTTACCTTACAGAACCCTATGGAAAAAATTGCAGGGACCCCATTACTATGATGTTTGGTAAAACCTTCCTATCCAGCTGATGACTGAATTCTCTTCAATATTCACTAAGATACCTCAAGCGACAAAAATTCATTGTCTCCTTAAACTGTTATTACATCTTTAGAGAAGATTGTCTTTTTTAAAAAAAAAAAGCCCCAAATATTATTTATATTAAACAAAAATGTTCCCTCTACTTTCAGACATTGGTCCTAGGTCTACTCTCTGGGGTCAATTCCAAATTTCTTTCAAATATTTGAGAAAACTAAAATTTCCCCCCTGTTTTCTGTGCTCTGCTTTATACTCGGGTTCTTTACAATTTATGGCATGAATGTGAGTTTCATCACAATCATATTCACTCTGATTATGTTTCTGATTACTTACAAATGAGGCACATGCAATAGAGTGCCATCCTCCCAAGTGTGGACTGAAACTCCCATGGTAGAGTCTGATTATCAACTCTTTTGTTGCAGAAAGACTGCTCCTGTTAGTACAAGAATTAAGGGGCATTCTTGGAGGGGGTAAGCTACAACCTTTAGGTTATCAGTCTACGAGATCTCTGAATTACTTTTGTATGCACAGGCTCTATTCTATTTCTTCTATTCTGTATTTATGAAATTAATTATATTGGACTCAAACACAGTAACATATTTATTTATGTACACTTTTTTCTATAGTCAATCAAGTATTCTAAGATTTCCATAGCTTGAGATCATAATTTTGTCATGCTATGGGGCAAAAAATACTTTGGGCTATGTTAGCGTGAGAATCATAAAAAAGAGAAGATAAGGCCTATGTTTTCAAGAATATGTGGCTCTAGGGCCGGCCGAGTGGCGCGATGGTTAAGAACTCGCTTGGGATGCCAGAGGGCCCCGGTTCGGATCCCACATAT